GAGCGCTCAGGAACCGCCGGGGTCGGTGGGTGCTGAGCAGGGTCGTGCTCAGCGCTGCAGAAAAGCTGGGGTGGGAAGGGACCTTACACCCCATCCAGTCCCACCCCCTGCCATGAGCAGGGACACCTTCCAGTAGTCCAGGTTGCTACAAACTAGTCTTGGAGGCTTCCGGGGATGAGGCAGCCACAGTTTGTCTGGGCAACCTGTGCCGGGGCCTCCCCACCATCACAGGGGAGAATTCCTTCCTGACATCTAGTGTAAATCTCTCCTCTTGTACTTTGAAAACGTCCCCCCTTGTCCCATCAGCATCACCTCGTCACACTTGGAAGGACACAAAGTACCTGTCTGCACCTCAGTGGTGGCACCTTCGTCCTCCTGAGTCCATGATCTCCAAAAGCTCTGCTTTGGGAGTTGGGGGATGCTGCCTTCGGGTCATGGGCCAGGGCCTGTCACTGTCCCCTGCCCGGCCAGAGCAGCCTGGCGTGGGCACGGTTTGGGTGCCAGGGCTGGGGTTTGTGCCCCGGAGGGGGAAGGTTGGTGTTGGCAGGAGGCTCAGCACAGCAGCCTTGTCTCTGCTGCCGTGGGAAGGTTTGGCTGTTGTCATGGGAGTTCAGGGAAGCTTTGCTCTGCGGGAACACAGAGAGAACATTCCCATCCCAAAGCATCGATGTGGTGTGTGCTGAACCTCTTGGAAAGTTTGGGGTAGTCAGGTTTCTCTGTCAAGGCCCTGCAGCAGAATGCACAGAACCCTCCTCCCCCTGGATTTTGGGTTGTTTTCTTGTTGGTATACTGTGGGATTAAGGAGAGGAAGGTGAGATCCCAGGAGCCCACTGGCCCTGGACTCTCCTGCCCTACTGGCCCTGCCACCTGTCCTGGAAATCTTTGTCCCTGGGACACATTCCTTGGTCCTCTCCCCCCTCTCTCTCTGAGCTCACAGACTCCAAACAAAACTCAGCCTGTCTCCTCTTGGGATGTGCTGATTCCTCTGGACATGGTGTCCCTTCTCACAGCTCCATCCCGGCTCCTCTCTTCCATCACTCCTTCCCCCCTTCCCAAGCCATTGAACTGTTCCCACCTGCAGGTCCTTCATGCCCTGATCCTGCCCTGGCTCCCGTCCCCTGCTGGGCTGGCAGCTCCTGTCCTGAGCCCTTGGCACCAGCCTGGAATTCCTGTTGGATTTTGTGGAATTCCTTTAAGATTTCCCTTCACAGCCCTCGCAAGGATCTCACCTCCACACCCCTCCTGTTTATCCAGGTCCCTCCTTAACCATCTTATCCCACTAAGACAAACCTTGGCAGTGGCTGTGGTGCTGCTGTGCCCTGACCCTTGATTATTTGGTTCCTTCCTGCTTCCATGGTTTTTTTCCCTGCTCTTCCCTTCATGGTCCTCTGCCCCAGGAACTCCAGAGCCTCTCCATGTTCTCATCATTGTCCCAGCCAGATGAGTTCAGTGATGGTGTCACAGCAAGTGCAGGTGAACCTGGAGGGCCATGGCTCCTGGGACACAGAATTTGGTCCTTCCAGGAAAAACAGGAGTGCTGGTATTTCACACGTTGCTCTTGGCTTGGGCGTCCCCCTTCGGAGCCAAGGCTTGTCCTGCGAGCGAGCCGGAGCTTCCCAGCGGGAATGTTCCTGCAAGGGGTTGCTGCCATAGGGAAGTTCCTGACGGGAATGTTCCTGCAGGGGGTTGCTGCCATAGGGAAGTTCCTGACGGGAATCAGAGCGTTTGTGCCGAGGAGGGTCTGGTGGGAGCGTGTAGGTGTGAGTTGAACGGGACCCACCCACAGGCTGTGAAACCCAAAGGCCCAGCCTGGAGGAGGTGGCTGGGCTGGGCTCAGCTCTGCAGATCCCTGTTTGTTGTCCGGGTTTCCTTGCTGGTTTAATCCCAGAGGAGTCTTGGAGTAATGAAGGACCTGTTGGATACAGCCTGTTGTGTCTTGGACCTATCAGTGCTCAGTTTTCTCTGTGGATCTTTTCCACAGGCTCCCTCTGGGCCCAGCATGGATTTCTCCTCCTGGGTGCTCTGGGTGTACCTTGGTTTATAACTCTTGGCTCCGACTCAGCTCTGCCCTGGCAGGGGCTGCCTTTGGTGCTGGGCCATGGGGCGAGTGGGGCTCCGTGAGCTCCACTCCAGGTTCCTCCCTGCTGTGTAAATGTTGGATCATTTGAATCAAAGGTTTGTAGTTCTTTGAAACCTGTTTCATGTTATTAAGCTCTGGAATCCTCGCTCTCTGCTGGTGGAACATCTCTGGGATGGAGGGAGCATCCGGTGACACCAGAGCACTGGTTTGACTAAATCCCAGAAACCCCATTCCAATGGGCTGATTTGCCGGGAGATTATCCAGGCTGGTGTTTTGGGGGAAGCTGGCTCCAGACTGTTTTGGGAAGCCAGGCAGCCCAGCTCCGGTTGGATTCCCAGCCCTCGGGGCAGAGCGGAGCATTCCTCGCTCCAGCAAACCCACCTCGACCTGCCGTGTCAGCACGTCCGGGGCACAGGTTGTGAGGAACAGCTTCTGAGGACGAGTCCTTGGGCTGCTGTGTTTGTGCTGGAAAAGCTCCTCCTGGGATGTGGGAGCAGGGGATGGGGGGGAGCAGCTGGTGGGGGCAGTGGTTGGTGACTCCTGGCTCAGCTCTCACACCCTTCCCGTGTGGGCAGGGACTTCCCTAGGACTGCCTGTCCCAGGTTCAGGGCTGGATGGTGCTTCCTGCTCCCCCCTGGGTTTGTGGGGACGCTCAGCAGGGCCAGGAGCATCGGTGCCCCTGGCAGGAGCTTGGGGAGGCTTAAGGACATCGACCCGTGGGGATTTGAGGATCCACCCGAGCTAAGCCTTTGCTGAGTCCTCAGCTCTTCTTCCCTGCAGAGGAGGATCTCCTGTGGGGATCTTCCTTTTGAACAAACCACGTGTAAATTCTCCCTGGTGTCGGGAGGGCAACGCAGAGCCCACATGGTTGGAATGTTCCTGGTGGGAGCCCTGCTTGGATGGGCTTGGGGGCCACGATGCTGCTCGAGTGGGCTCGGTGGGCACTGCCCACCTTCCTGCAGCAGAAAGGACAGTGATATTTAACTGTCAGCCTTCAATCAAAGTGCATGAGCTGACTGCTGGCTGGAAAATCCTTGTGGAGTGGCTTTTCCTAAGGCAAGACTGGGGTTTGTGGGAGCCCTGGGTTCCTTCTTGGTTGGTTCTGGGTGCCAGAGGCCGATTTGCTGCTGTGGCTGGTTTGGAATTTTTCAGGTTGTGAGTGAGGGATGAGCTCACACCCAGGGCTCTGGACCAGGGAGGTTGCTAAGCTTCCTGACAGGAATCCTGGCAACCAAGAGAGCCATGAGGTTTTGGGGAAGATCTGGAAATTATTTGTAAATGGAAGGTTTCCTCTCTAACCTCCTGTTTTGCCTGTTGGACCTTGGGAACGCTGAAACACTCCCAAAAGCAGCACTGAGATGTGGGGATCAAAGCAGAGCTGATGGGATACTTCTGGCTGATGCTGAATCTGAGTTTTCTTTTGTCCTCAGCTGCCTTTCCTCATCGGCTGAACCTTTTTTACTTGGCCAATGATGTCATACAGAACTGCAAGAGGAAAAATGCCATTGTCTTCCGGGACACCTTCGCGGAGGTGCTTCCCGAGGCCGCCTCGTTAGTGAAGTGAGTGACGAACTGCCGGGGTGTGGGAAGGCTGAATGGCTCAGAAAGTGGGGATCTTTCTTCTGACATCTGAGACTCTCTAGAAACGTCAGCAGAACTTCAGGGATTTTGTTTGAACAGCTCTTGTGTTTGCGCTTCTCTCCCGCAGTGGGCTGGGAGTGAGCTGGGCTTTGGTCTGCACAGGGGGCTGGTGTGGGTCAAATTGTCACGTGAAGGGGTGTGAGGGAAGCCTTGCACCAAGCAGAGAGAGCCCACTGTGCTCTTGCCTTCCAGGGATCCATCCGTTTCCAAATCCATCGAAAGAATCTTCAAAATCTGGGAGGACAGAAACGTGTACCCCGAGGAAACCATTCTGGCACTGAAAGAAGCTCTGAGTAAGTCACTTACCCTTTGTATTTCTCACCTTCCAAACCCACACGTGAGCTCGCTGAGGTTGTGGAAACAGTCTGGGGTCACTGAGGAGGATGAGGGGCGTTTGTGCCTGGCACAGGCTGGAACGTAGCCAGGTGTGGTACGTGAGCAGTGCTGGGTTCTCCTGGTTCACCTCGTCTGTACCTGTCTAAAGGCAGCTGTGAGTCCTTCCACATGGGCTGGAACTGCTCCAGCTGGGAGCAAACAGGGCGTGAGGCTGGAGTGCTCCTGCACGTCCTGACCAGGGTGCCCTGGCTCTGCCTCTGAGTCCTGTTCAGCAATAGGTTGTTTTAACTTGAGTATTTGTGGGGCAGCAAGAGGCAGAAGCAAAGCTGGAGGGTGAAGAGTCCTCGAGCCCTTAGAAAAGAGCCAGTTAAACCCAGGAATTAACCAGTACTCAAGTACTTGAAGGAAATTAGTCCAGGTTTTGTCTTTACATCATTGAGAGCTAAAGGTGCTCAGGAGACCCTCAGGTGAGGTCTGAGGTCACAGCAGGAGGAAGGTGGGGTCTCTGGCCAGGTTGTGGCGTGAGGAAAGGCTCCAGCTGGGCGTTGCATGCTGAGAAGTGAAGTTTGTGCATATGGTCTGAAATCTCCAATTTCTGTAACTTGAAAACAAAGGTATTTGAGGTTCCAGGTAAATCAGGTATTGTGGCTGTTCTGCCAACGTGCACTCCTTACCTGTTGAATGTTGATTCCATTACAGCCTCCCCTAAAGAGTTTGATTTTCAGATTGCTTGTGTTTTTCCTTTTTACTGTGATTTTTGAACTGTCTGTAGCGCAAGGGCAAACAGAAACTTGATTTAAAAATGGCAGACCACCCCCAGGTTGCTGCATTCCTGAGTAAACTGAGGTTCTCTTGGGCATCCAGCAGCTCCTCTAAGGAAGTTGGTCGAGGTATTTTAAAACAAATTTCTGTTCACTCTTCCACCGTGCAACCATACGGCACCAAAAACCAGATTCTGACAGGGATCCCGTAATGCCAGACTGCCAAAAATGAAATGTTTTTCCAGGTACCACTTTCAAAACTCAGAAGCAGCTGAAAGAGTCTCTGAACAAACCGAATAAGCCGTGGAAGAAATCACAAAGTAAGGAACCACTGTGAACTCTGTGCACTAATATAGAAATTGGCTGCTTGAGGAGCAGAAGGAAGGCTGAGGGCAGAGCACCTGGGCTAAGGAAGGCCCTGAGATGTGCACACCGAGGAGGTGTTGGCACAAAACCACTTTGTAAAGGAAAGAAGTGAGACAAAAACAAGATAGGAGAGCAGAGGTTGCAGACAGGAGAGGAAGGAGCTGGTGGAACCTCCTGGAAAGTGGTGTTAGACTGGTCAGAGCTGGAGAGAAGACAGAGAGAAGCAGAAGGTGGACATTCCCCTCGTGCTCAGGAACACACCTGTCCCAGCAGGCTGGGCTGGGAGCCAGGAACTCGGAGCTGGGAGTGCAGGGACAGGACGTGGGAGTCCAACTGCCCAGGAGAGAATTTCTAATAAACTGACCTTAGTGATCTCACCGTGCACCAGAGCCCTGAGCGGTCCCCACGGCGAGGTGGTGGCACATCAGGTGTGACGTGTGGGACATCAGCAAGGTCACCAGAGTTTGGAAGTGTTTATTACTGAACACCACAAGCTGCATTCCCAGACTGAACTGGGCTGTGTCCAGCGTGGATGGAGGGTTTAGCACTTTGCTTCTCATCAGCTGTTTCTCCTGTTTGCTCCAGAATCTGATGGATTTGGTGTCTCTTGCCAGCGGGACTCGTCCCCCCGCTCTGTAACCGGGTGTCAGCACAGAGAGGTGACAGCTGTTAAGGCTTTGAGCATGGTCAGACCTGGGAAGTACCCAAGGGAGACCCTGCCCACAGGAAACCAGGGCTCCGTGTCAGCTCCAGGTGTGGCACTGAGGGAATAACATTCCCTTCCTTGTAGAGAGCTGTAAATCCTCGGATAAGGCCGTTAGATGGACCCTTGCAGAGACTTGTCTTCCCGAGGCAAACCTGTGCCCGGGAAGTGTTGAGAGCATGTTAAAAACCAAAACCCAAGAGCAGCAGTTGTCACTCGTTGGCCTCGGTCCCGACCCGGCTGCGCGTGTCCGTGTCCCCGCGAGCTACCGGGGGAACCCGGAGCGAGGAGGGACCCCTGCATGGAGGGGAGGATGTGGTGGGTGACTGCCACCTGCACGTCTGTCCTGAGTTACCTCAGAGTATCTCTCACTAGACTGACTGCCTTTTGGGACTGACTTTCCATCAGGATGTGGATCCTTCATTTCTTCACGTTTTTCCTTTGTCCCCGCAGCGTCCACCAACCCGAAAGCTGCTCTGAAGTCCAAGATTGTCGCCGAATTCCGAGTAAGTCTGCGAGTGGAAGTGACCTATGGGCACTAACCCCCACCCTGGGGGTTTGTAGGGTGACCCCAAGCCCGAGAGCTGCCTGTGCCTGAGGGGCTGAGTGACACCCACAGGGAGGGCTGGTCATACTCAGGTCGTCCTCGTGAAGGGGAGTTTGAGGTGGCTGAGGAGTTGGTGGCAAGAAATTCAGCAAAATTTGATCCCCTGACAGAGCAGGGCCTGTTGATGAAATGCACAGACCCCTGTGGAGTGAAAAAAGGGAATAAATAAAACAGGCCTGTCCCTGCTCTTAACCATAACAGCCAGGAGACTTGGGAAACTGCAACCCCTGCCTGAACTCAGCTTTGCTGATCTGTGAGATTTGCAGTCAAAAACCCAGAGATCCACATGGTTCCTGCGTTAGCTCTCACTTGGAAGTGGCCTGGAGCCAGAGCGGAGGCAGGGCTGTGCTGTTCAGGGCTTCTCTTGCCTGGAATGTGATGAGGATGCTTTTCCTGTTTGATTTTTTTTTTTTCCCAGCCCCAGTCCCTCATTGATGAGCTGCTGTTGTACAAGCGCTCGGAAGACCAGATAGAGCTGAAGGAGAAGCAGCTTTCCACCATGAGGGTGGATGTTTGCAGCACTGAGACACTCAAGTGCTTGAAAGGTAAAGCCCCGAGGGAGTCGTGGGAGCTCCTCACTTCTCTTTAGCCCTAGGCCAGAAATCAGAGCATGGCTGGAAAAATGCCAGAATTTCGGAGCGGGGTTAAGAACCACCAATCTTGAGCCAAAAGTATTAGTTCGAGTTTTTGTGGAAACCTGCAGATCCCGAGCTCAGACAGAGCTAATGACTAGCTGAAAAACCAACATGCAGTGCTAGAGAAGGCCTCCTCCTTGGTCCCAGTGGATCACTGGGGTGGTCTGGGAGGGTGTGGATCTGCTGTCCCAGCTGCTGCCCTTGAGGTCACGCTCTGGTTTGGCAGCTGGCAGCTCATTCCCGTGGTGTCCGTCTCCCTGCAGATAAAACGGGAGGGAAGAAGTTCTCCAAGGAGTTTGAGGAAGCGAGTTCGAAGCTGGAGGAGTTTGTGAACGGCCTGGACAAGCAGGTGAAGAACGGCCCCTCGCTCACCGAGGCGCTGGAGAACGCCGGGATCTTCTACGAGGCGCAGTACAAGGAAGTCAAGGTGGTAGCGAATGTAAGTGAGCCTTTCCTTGACCCTCTGCAGGTGGAACGGCGTCTTCCTGTGTTCACTGAGCCCCTCAGAGGCTGGAAAATGCCTCATCTCTCTGTTCACAAATTAAAAAGTTCATGGGACTGTTGTACAGGTGGTTTCCAAAGAGAGCAGAGTTGAGGTGTCAGGCAAGGCAAGGAGATGCTCCAAAAATCCAGTGGTTGGATGCTTGATTTGTGTGTGTTGCTGGAATTTTGGAGCCCCCCTTGGATTCATAAGCAGGGCAAAATTACAGTTAGTGTGACAAATCCTGAACTCTGGAAGCTTGCAATACACATGGGGACTAGATGAGCAAAGAAATGAAGAATTCAGTAGAGAGTTGGAAAAATAACCAAAATCCCCCCCAGACCCTCCTGGAACCCCCCCCTAGACAGGCAGAACGTGTTTGTTAGAAACTTGGGGGTTTATGAAAGTTCTTCCAAGTCACTGGAAAAAGGTTTTATCTTCTTTTTTTGGGGTTGTTTCTCTGTCACATGGACAAGCCGAGTTCTCACCGCTGCAGGGTCCAGGGAATTGGAAGTGGTTTTCTCGAGGTGTGTGCTGCTTCCTTAGGGAAGTGATTGAGGCAGGAATGATCCCCAGTCTGATGTCCTTCCTTCCTTAGGCCTATAAAACATTTGCTAATCGAGTGAGCAATCTGAAGAAAAAGCTGGACCAGCTGAAAGCAACACTTCCCGATCCCGAGGAGTCTCCTGTCCCTTCTCCCAGCATGGACGCCCCGTCTCCGACGGGCTCCGAGTCCCCTTTCCAGGGGATGGGAGAGGAGAACAGCACCCGGTCCCCGGCAGCTGGAGGCCGCAAGATGGTCACTCCAGAGCCTGCGACAGATAATCGGGACGTGGAGGACATGGAGCTCTCTGACGTGGAGGACGATACGTCCAAAATCATTGGTACGTCCTGCGGGAGCAGCAGGGATTGTCGTGTGGGAATTCCGGGACAAACCAGCCCTTCCCAACCTCATTTGGGATGTGGAGGAGGCACAGACCCTGTGCTGGGCTGTGGGATGGGGCTGTTGGGTTTGACACAAGCAGGGAAGTCCCAGTCCCGCCGGGATTGTTCCCATCTCCCAAACCACCCATCCAAGGTGTTTTGACATCAGTGGGAATCGGAGCTGATGTGCCCCAAGTCATTCCAGCAGTGACAGTTCTGCTCTTGTTCCCCCTCTCTGTGCTGCAGTGGAGGAGAGGAAGGACAAACAGGCTGCTCCAGCCCCAGCACCTGCCAAGACTGAGAGTGTCCCCAAAGCAGTCCCAGTGGCCACCGCGGCCGCCACGGCCTCGGGGACGGTGACAACGCCGGCCCCGACCCCTCCGGCTCCGAAGGCGGCGAGCGCGGTGCCCGTCCCGCCGGCACCGGCGCTGGCCCTGCCCAACCTGGCCAACGTGGACCTGGCCAAGATCAGCTCCATCCTGAGCAGTTTGACGTCGGTGATGAAGAGCACAGGTGAGTCCTGAGCCAGGCCTTGGGCACCGGCGCTGGCACACCGGGGTGATTGTTCAGAGCTTTAATTGTCTCAAAATAAACACGAGTGAGTTCCTGCTGTCTGAGCTCTGGCTCGGTCTCTGGCACACGCTGTCAGCTTCCTGAGCTCAGTGGTGTGTGTGGAAAACCTGAGCCAGAAGCGCTTGGGTTAGCGGGGCAGCTCAGGTGAGTGGTGTGTGCTCCCGTCCCAGGTGTGAGCCCTGCCTCCAGACCCTCTCCGGGGACCCCGACCAGCCCCACAGCTCTCACCAGTGGCCTGAAGACTCCTGTCCTGGGGACTCCGTCTGCTCCTTCGAATCCGTTAGCAAACATTCTCTCCAAAGTGGAGATAACTCCGGAAAGCATTTTGTCGGCTCTCTCCAAAACCCAGACCCAGACGGCGCCGGCACTGCAAGGTACTGGCGTGGGTGTTGGGCAAGGGCTGGTGGGTTCAAAGGTGCCGGGCTGAAATGTGCTGCTCTGCCTGTCCTGAAGTGAAAACAGAGGGAGAAAAACTTCCTTGGAGTGTTTTACACCTGTGGCACGTGCAGATGGTCTTTCTCAGGTAGCACATGTGTCATGGACCAGTGAGTTCTGTCACTTCTCTGTGCTTCCTCCTGCTTGTGCCGTGACCGAACTGCACGTACCCAGAACACTCCATGTGAGGCCCCTGAACGGGACAGGAGACCAAGAGGTCTCTGTGTTTTCCGTGTGCACAAAGCTCCCAGAGGTTCTGCTCCTGATCTGGCACCTTGCATGGGTCACCTGGCCAGCTGGGCAGGTTTCACACACCTGGCTGCAGACCAGGACAGGTTCTTGCCCAACTGACCCGATGGAGTAATTTATATTTGTAGATCAATCTGAGCCTCTGGCAGGAGGTTGCACCTTGCTGGGTGCTAATGTCAACACAGCACAATCCAGTCCTTTTCCTGGCTGGAGCGTGGGGGAAGTGTTAGGGAACGCCATCCACAGTGGAAACAGGGGAGCCTTTCCCTTGGAAGCGGCTCGGGGAGATTTGCCTCTCCAGAGTTCCTGATGCAGTTCTGTCTTCCAGGTTTGTCATCCCTGCTGCAGAGTGTGGCTGGAAACACCGTCCAGTCGGGCGAACCCGCCTCCCAGAGCACTTCGGCATCACCAGCCAACACAACTGTGCCCAGCATGAAGGGGAGGAATGTTCCTTCCAATCCACAGTCCTTTATATCCAAAAGCTTTGGTTATTCTCCAAACTCATCCACCGCAGAGGTTTCCTCCACTTCAGTCAATAAGGCTCCCATTGGACACACCCCAGCACTGTCAAGCTCCAGTTTTAAACCACCAACCAATTCCCTGGGATTTTCCAGTTCCCACCCTACCAGTCCTTCTTCCCTTTTGCCAACAGAACCCCCACTGGGTCAGTCCTCCGAAATTTCAAAAGCCAAGCTGGAATCAGAACCCCCTTCTCCCAGCCTGGAGATGAAGATACACAATTTCCTGAAGGGAAACCCTGGCTTCAGTGGCCTGAACTTGAATATTCCCATCCTCAGCAGCTTGGGGTCCAGCATGGCAGCGGAGAGTCACACCTCTGACTTCCAGCGTGGTCCCACCAGCACTTCCATGGACAATGTGGACGGGACGCCGGTGCGGGACGAGCGGAGTGGGACACCCACCCAGGACGAGATGATGGATAAGCCGACATCGAGCAACGTGGACACGATCTCCCTGCTGTCAAAAATCATGAGCCCTGGTTCTTCTACTCCCAGCAGCACGAGGTCACCTCTGCAGGGCCGGGATGATGGATATTCCCAAGAACTTCCCAGTTCCGTGCACGGCTACCGGCCCTTCGGCCTCGGCAGGGAGTCTCCGGCCGGGCTGTACAAGCCGCCTGCGGACAGCAGGGAGATTCCCTCCTCTTTGATGGACTCCTCCCAGGAGAAGTTTTACCCAGACACGTCTTTCCAAGAAGACGAGGATTACCGTGACTTCGACTACTCCGGGCCGCCGCCCTCGGCCATGCTGAACCTGGAGAAGAAGCCCGTCAAGTCTATCCTAAAATCGAGCAAACTCCCGGAGTCAGCGGAGTACCAGCCGGTGCTGTCCAGCTACGGCCAGAGGTCGCAGGAGTTCGGCGTGAAGCCGTCCTTCCCCCCCTCCATGAGGTCTATCCTGGATCAGAGCGAGGGCTGCGACCCGCTGGCCTCGTCCCCGGGGATGTTCGGGAGCTACGGCCGCCGGGGGAAGGACTCGGCCTCGGACGGGTCCCCGTCGCCCAGCAAGAACGACGTGTTCTTCACGCCGGACTCCAACCACAACACCCTGCCCAAGCCCGGGCTCCCGCAGAAGCAATACCCGGACTCGCCCCACGCGCTTCCCCACCGCTCGCTCTTCTCCTCCCAGAACACCCTCCCCAGCCCTGCCGGCCGAGCGCCCGCAGCGGGCGGGGACAAACCCATGGGCTCTTCCATCTCCACCACCTCCACCATCGAGTTCAAGAACATGCTCAAAAACGCCTCCCGGAAGCCCTCCGAGGAGAAGCACTTTGGGCAGATTCCCAAAAGCAGCTCCGGCGAGGGCGGGAGCTTGTCCGGGGCCGCCAAGGACCCGCAGCCTCCCGAGGAGCACTATCGCATCGAGACCCGCGTGTCCTCCTCCTGCCTGGACCTGCCCGACAGCACCGAGGAGAAGGGGGCCCCCATCGAGACGCTGGGCTACCACAATGCCTCGAGCCGGGGCATGTCGGGGGAGCCCATCCAGACCGTGGAGTCCATCCGGGTGCTGGGCAAGGGCAGCCGGGGCCACGGGCGCGAGGGGAGCCGGGCGGGCTGGTTCGAGCTGAGCAGCGGCGGGAGCGCCTTCGAC